TCTGTCTCGCTCTCTCTGTCTCTGTCTCACTCTCTGTCTCGCTCTCTCCGTCTCTGTCTCACTCTCTGTCTCTCTCTCTCTTACTCGCTCTCTCTCTCGCTCTCTCCATCTCTCTCTGTCTCGCTCTCTCCATCCCTCTCTGTCTCGCTCTCTCCATCTCTGTCTCACTCTCTGTCTCTCTGTCACTCTCTCTCGCTCTCTCCATCTCTCTCTCGCTCTCTCCATCTCTCTCTCGCTCTCTCACTCTCTGTCTCTCTGTCACTCTCTCTCGCTCTCTCCATCTCTCTCTCGCTCTCTCCATCTCTCTCTCGCTCTCTCCGTCTCTGTCTCTCTCTCTGTCTCTCACTCTCTCTCGCTCTCTCACTATCTCTCTATCTCACTCTCTCGCACTCTCTCTCGCTCTCTCCATCTCTCTCTGTCTCGCTCTCTCCATCTCTGTCTCTCTCTCACTCTCTCTCGCTCTCTCGCTCTCTCCATCTCTCTCTGTCTCGCTCTCTCCATCTCTCTGTCTCTCTCGCTCTCTCCATCTCCGTCTCACTCCATCTCTCTCTCTCTCTCGCTCTCTCCATCTCTGTCTCGCTCTCTCCATCTCTCTCTCTGTCTCGCTCTCTCCATCTCTCTCTCACTATCTCTCTCGCTCTCTCCATCTCTCTCTGTCTCGCTCTCTCCATCTCTCACTCTCTCTGTCTCGCTCTCTCCATCTCTGTCTCGCTCTCTCCATCTCTCTCTGTCTCGCTCTCTCCATCTCCGTCTCACTCTCTGTCTCTGTCTCGCTCTCTCCATCTCTCTCTCTGTCTCGCTCTCTCCATCTCTCACTCTCTCTGTCTCGCTCTCTCCATCTCTGTCTCGCTCTCTCCATCTCTCTCTGTCTCGCTCTCTCCATCTCCGTCTCACTCTCTGTCTCTGTCTCGCTCTCTCCATCTCTCTCTCTGTCTCGCTCTCTCCATCTCCGTCTCACTCTCTGTCTCTGTCTCCCTCTGCGCGTGCGTCTCGGTCACGCGTCTCCATCCTGCGGGGGGGGGCCGCCTGTCGTCCTGAGCAGTAGCCCCCCCGCCCCCCACGACACGATTGTTGCGTGTTAATTTTTAGTGAAATTAGCGGGCGAAGCGAAGAAAAAAATATATATATAACCCACCGCCGCCGCCGCCGCTAAATGACGTGCAGCTGAGCGAAGTCGGTCGGTCGGTCGGCCGGCCGGCCGGCCATGTGCCCCCGTACACCCGGGCCGCCTCCGTGCTCGTTCGTCTGAGAGGCGACCGACGGCCACCGTCGCCACCACCAGCACCGCCACCACCACCACCGCCACCATCACTGCCACCATCACCACCACTGCCGCCACCATCGCAACCACCACCGTCGCCACCACCAGCACCGCCACCATCACTGCCACCATCACCACCACTGCCGCCACCACCACCATTGCCACCACCGCCGCTGCCACTGTTATTATCACCGCCATCATCATCGCCGCCACCACCGCCACCACCATCATAGCCGCCACCATCGCCACTGTCACCACCACCATCGTCTCCGCCGCCACCACATCCATCATCGCCACCACCATCTCCACCACCGCCGCCACTGCCACCACTGCTGCCGCCACCACCACCACCATCGCCGCCACCACCACTGCCACCCACCACCGTCATCACCGCCACCACTACCACCATCATCACCGCCATCACTACCACCATCATCACCGCCACCACTGTCACCATCACTGCCACCACCATCGCCACCATCGCCGCCACCCACCACCATCATCACCGCCATCACTACCACCATCATCACCGCCACCACCACCATCGCCGCCACCACTGCCACCACTGCCACCCCAACCATCGTTTCCAACACACTGCCACCACCGCCGCCGCTACCCCACGGCGCTAAGGGCGGTTGCCTGTTGCTACGTGATGCATGGTGACCATGGCGACAAGGGTTGTTGCCTGTTGCTACGTGACGCACGGCGACAAGGGTTGTTGGCTGTTGCTACGTGACGCACGGCGACAAGGGCTGTTGCCTGTTGCTACGTGACGCACGGCGACAAGGGCTGTTGCCTGTTGCTACGTGATGCACGGTGATCACGGTGCTAGGGGCTGTTGCCTGTTGCTACGTGACGCACGGTGACAAGGGCTGTTGCCTGTTGCTACGTGACGCACGGCGACAAGGGCTGTTGCCTGTTGCTACGTGACGCACGGTGACAAGGGCTGTTGCCCGTTGCTACGTGACGCACGGCGACAAGGGCTGTTGCCCGTTGCTACGTGACGCACGGTGACAGGGGCTGTTGCCTGTTGCTACGTGACGCACGGCGACAAGGGCTGTTGCCTGTTGCTACGTGACGCACGGTGACAAGGGCTGTTGCCTGTTGCTACGTGACGCACGGCGACAAGGGCTGTTGCCTGTTGCTACGTGATGCACGGTGATCACGGTGCTAGGGGCTGTTGCCTGTTGCTACGTGACGCACGGTGACAAGGGCTGTTGCCTGTTGCTACGTGACGCACGGCGACAAGGGCTGTTGCCTGTTGCTACGTGACGCACGGTGACAAGGGCTGTTGCCCGTTGCTACGGGACGCACGGCGACAAGGGCTGTTGCCCGTTGCTACGTGACGCACGGTGACAGGGGCTGTTGCCTGTTTGCTACGTGACGCACGGCGACAAGGGCTGTTGCCTGTTGCTACGTGACGCACGGTGACAAGGGCTGTTGCCTGTTGCTACGTGACGCACGGCGACAAGGGCTGTTGCCTGTTGCTACGTGACGCACGGCGACAAGGGTTGTTGCCTGTTGCTACGTGACGCACGGTGATCACGGTGCTAGGGGCTGTTGCCTGTTGCTACGTGACGCACGGTGACAAGGGCTGTTGCCTGTTGCTACGTGACGCACGGTGACAGGGGCTGTTGCCTGTTGCTACGTGACCCCACGGCGACAAGGGCTGTTGCCTGTTGCTACGTGACGCACGGTGACAGGGGCTGTTGCCTGTTGCTACGTGACGCACGGCGACAAGGGCTGTTGCCTGTTGCTACGTGACGCACGGTGACAGGTGTTGTTGCCTGTTGCTACGTGACGCACGGCGACAAGGGCTGTTGCCTGTTGCTACGTGACGCACGGCGACAAGGGCTGTTGCCTGTTGCTACGTGACGCACGGTGATCACGGTGCTAGGGGCTGTTGCCTGTTGCTACGTGACGCACGGTGACAGGGGTTGTTGCCTGTTGCTACGTGACGCACGGCGACAGGGGCTGTTGCCTGTTGCTACGTGACGCACGGTGACAGGGGTTGTTGCCTGTTGCTACGTGACCCCACGGTGACAAGGGTTGTTGCCCGTTGCTACGTGACGCACGGTGACGAGGGCTGTTGCCCGTTGCTACGTGACGCACGGTGACAAGGGTTGTTGCCTGTTGCTACGTGACCCCACGGTGACAAGGGCTGTTGCCTGTTGCTACGTGACGCACGGTGACAAGGGCTGTTGCCTGTTGCTACGTGACGCACGGTGACAAGGGTTGTTGCCTGTTGCTACGTGACCCCACGGTGACAAGGGCTGTTGCCTGTTGCTACGTGACGCACGGTGACAGGGGCTGTTGCCTGTTGCTACGTGACGCACGGTGACAGGGGCTGTTGCCTGTTGCTACGTGACGCACGGTGACAGGGGCTGTTGCCCGTTGCTACGTGACGCACGGTGACAGGGGCTGTTGCCTGTTGCTACGTGACGCACGGCGACAAGGGCTGTTGCCCGTTGCTACGTGACGCACGGTGACAAGGGTTCTTGCCTGTTGCTACGTGACCCCACGGTGACAAGGGCTGTTGCCTGTTGCTACGTGACGCACGGCGACAAGGGCTGTTGCCTGTTGCTACGTGACGCACGGCGACAGGGGTTGTTGCCTGTTGCTACGTGACGCACGGTGACAGGGGCTGTTGCCTGTTGCTACGTGACGCACGGTGACAATGGTTGTTGCCTGTTGCTACGTGACGCACGGTGACAGGGGCTGTTGCCTGTTGCTACGTGACGCACGGTGACAGGGGCTGTTGCCTGTTGCTACGTGACGCACGGTGACAGGGGCTGTTGCCTGTTGCTACGTGACGCACGGTGGGCTGTTGCCTGTTGCTACGTGACGCACGGTGACAGGGGTTGTTGCCTGTTGCTATGTGACGGCGGCGTTGAGCGATGATTTGCGACCGCTAAGTTGCTGCTGAGAAAGAGCTGCGTCAGCAGCTCAGTGGGGCCTCTTACACTTGGCAAAAAAAATAAAAATAAATAGTTAATAGTTTGGTGTGGTTATATTCTTGGTTCTTTCGGTAAAGTCACGTAGGTAAAAAAAATATAATATTAGTAAGTTGAAAATAATTAAAGCAAAAACCACGGTAAATTTTTTTATAGTAAAATAAATGGTGTGTGGGTTGTGTGTGGTGTGGGTTGTGTGTGTGGGTGAGTGGTGTGTGTGGGTGAGTGGTGAGTGTTGTGTGTGTGTGGGTGAGTGGTGTGGGTGTGTGGGTGAGTGGTGTGTGTGGGTGAGTGGTGTGTGTGGGTGAGTGGTGTGTGTGGGTGAGTGGTGTGTGTGGCTGAGTGGTGTGTGTGGCTGAGTGGTGTGTGTGCGTGGTGTGTGTGTGTGGGTGAGTGGTGTGTGTGTGTGTGGGTGAGTGGTGTGTGGGTGAGTGGTGTGTGGGTGAGTGGTGTGTGGGTGAGTGGTGTGTGGGTGAGTGGTGTGTGGGTGTGTGGGTGAGTGGTGTGTGTGTGTGGGTGAGTGGTGAGTGAGTGTGTGTGTCCTTGGTTTTAGTGGGGAGCGGCGGTGCAGCGGTTAGCGCTGGGGGAGAGACAAAGGCTGCCGGGCGTGGCGCCAGCCACCCCCACCCCCTCGTGTGCCACAGCGCCGGCCTTCACAGGTGCCCGCTACGAACAGCGCTCGCCCCAACAGTCTGCTACAGGCAACGCGGGTCAGACTTTCTCCTTGGATGTAACTCTCCTCTCTCTCTCTCACTCTCCCCTCCTTCCCACCTATTGTTGAGCAGCGTCAACGCCAGAAGCGCTCGCCATGAATCCTCTCTACAGCCCAACAGCTCCAGGCGCTGTCTACAGCAACTCACAAGGCATGGGATACGCGGGTGAGAGGTGCACTGTGTGTGTGTGTGTGTGCTGTGTGTACGTGTGTGTGTGTGTGTACGTGCCTGTGTGTGTGTGCTGTGTGTACGTGCCTGTGTGTGTGTGCTGTGTGTACGTGCCTGTGTGTGTGTGCTGTGTGTACGTGGCTGTGTGCTGTGTGTACGTGCCTGTGTGTGTGTGTACGTGCCTGTGTGTGTGTGCTGTGTGTACGTGCCTGTGTGTGTGTGCTGTGTGTACGTGCCTGTGTGTGTGTGCTGTGTGTACGTGCCTGTGTGTGTGTGCTGTGTGTACGTGCCTGTGTGTGTGTGTGCTGTGTGTACGTGCCTGTGTGTGTGTGTGCTGTGTGTACGTGCCTGTGTGTGTGTGCTGTGTGTACCTGTGTGTGTGTGTGCTGTGTGTACGTACCTGTGTGTGTGTGCTGTGTGTATGTGCCTGCGTGTGTGTGCTGTGTGTACGTGCCTGTGTGTGTGTCTGCTGTGTGTACGTGCCTGTGTGTGTGTGCTGTGTGTACGTGCCTGTGTGTGTGTGTGTGTGCTGTGTGTACTTGCCTGTGTGTGTGTACCTGTGTGTGTGTGTGTTGTGTGCACGTACCTGTGTGTGTGTGCTGTGTGTACGTACCTGTGTGTGTACGTACCTGTGTGTGTGTACGTACCTGTGTGTGTGCTGTATGTACGTACCTGTGTGTGTGCTGTATGTATGTACCTGTGTGTGTGTGCTGTGTGTACGTGTGTGGTGTGTGTGCTGTATGTATGTACCTGTGTGTGTGTCTTTGTGCTGTGTGTACGTACCTGTGTGTGTGTACGTACCTGTATGTGTGTGTGCTGTATTATGTACCTGTGGGTGTGCTGCATGTATGTACCTGTGTGTGTGCTGTGTGTACGTACCTGTGTGTGCTGTATGTACGTGTGTGGTGTGTGTGCTGTATGTATGTACCTGTGTGTGTGTCTTTGTGCTGTGTGTACGTACCTGTGTGTGTACGTACCTGTATGTGTGTGTGCTGTATGTATGTACCTTTGTGTGTGCTGTGTGTACGTACCTGTGTGTGTGTGTGCTGTATGTACGTGTGTGGTGTGTGTGCTGTATGTATGTACCTGTGTGTGTGTCTTTGTGCTGTGTGTACGTACCTGTGTGTGTTTGTGTGCTGTACGTACACACCTGTGTGTGTATGTGCTGTGTGTACCTGTGTGTGTGTGTGTGCTGTGAGTACCTGTGTGTGTGTGCTGTATGTACCTGTGTGTGTGCTGTATATACGTACCTGTGTGTGTGTATGTGTGCTGTATGTATGTACGTGTGTGGTGTGTGTGTGTATATACGTACCTGTGTCTGTGTATGTGTGATGTATGTATGTACGTGTGTGTGGTGTGTGTGTATGTATCTGTGTGTGTGTGCTGTATATACGTACCTGTGAGTACGTGTGTGGTGTGTGTGCTGTATGTATGTACCTGTGTGTGTGTACGTACCTGTGTGTGTGTGTGTGTGCTGTATGTATGTACCTGTGTGTGTTGTGTGTACGTACCTGTGTGTGTGTGTGTGTGCTGTATGTATGTACCTTTGTGTGTGTGTGTGTGCTGCATGTATGTACCTGTGTGTGCGCTGTATGTATGTACCTGTGTGCTGTGTGTACGTACCTGTGTGTGTGTGCTGTATGTACGTGTGTGCTGTATGTATGTACCTGTGTGTGTGTCTGTGCTGTGTGTACGTACCTGTGTGTGTGTGTGTGCTGTATGTACGCACCTGTGTGTGTGTGCTGTGTGTACCTGTGTGTGTGTTGTGTGTACCTGTGTGTGTGCTGTGTGTACGTGTGTGTGTGCTGTGTGTACCTGTGTGTGTGTACCTGTGTGTGTGTGTGTGCTGTGTGTACCTGTGTGTGTGCTGTATATACGTACCTGTGTGTGTGTGCTGTATATACGTACCTGTGTGTGTGTGTGCTGTATATACGTACCTGTGTGTGTGTGTGCGCTGTATGTACGTACCTGTGTGTGTGTATGTGTGCTGTATGTATGTACGTGTGTGTGGTGTGTGTATACGTACCTGTGTGTGTGTATGTGTGCTGTATGTATGTATGTGTGGTGTGTATGTACGTGTGTGTGGTGTGTGGTGTGTATGTACCTATGTGTGTGTGTGCTGTATATACGTACCTGTGTGTGTGTGTGTGTGCTGTATATGCGTACCTGTGTGTGTGTGTATGTGTGCTGTATGATTGTACCATCAGTAGGCCTGGGCTCTGGGTTGTTCTTCGTGCTTTTGGAGTCCCTGACCCTCTGCTCACGATCATTAAGGACCTTCATGATGGTGAGCGGGCCCGGGTAAAACTACGTGGCCGTGAGTCGGAGCCATTCCCTGTTCACCTTGGGGTGCGACAGGGATGTCCTCTGGCTCCAACATTATTAAACATCTTTTTCGACCACGTAGTTGTGAAGCCTTTGATGGCTGTACCAGAGGAATTTCCATCTGGTACAGATACAATGGGAGGCTGATCGATTCCCGGGTGCGGTCAAGGGATGGCTTCCTATTGGTGAACCACGTTATGTATGCCGATGATCCGGTAATTGCCGCTCACTCAGAGGAGGAGTTGGAGACGCTGCTGCTGAAACTGGAGCATGCCAGTAAGAGGTGGGGCCTTACCATCAACCCCACCAAAACTAAGCACCTGCCTGGGTATTTTGTACCATCGGACACTCCACCCCCACAACTCCCAAATCGGTGATGGGGCAGTTGTGGAGAGAGTGGAGAGTTTCCCATACCTGGGCAGTGTGCTTATGACCGGCTCCAATTTAACAGCAGAGGTCTCACTCCGAATCAGTCGAGCGGCAATATCTTTTCATCGGTTGCGTAACGCTGTGTGGAAGCTACCTGGTCTGTCGCTCCGCACTAAGCTTCAGGTCTTCTCGGCCACGGTCATTCCCTCCCTTCTCTACGCTTGCGAAACGTGGACCCCCCTAATGGAACATCTTCGCCGGTTAGAAACATTTAGGCTGGCCTGCCTACGATCCATCCTGGGTTTAACCAGACTGGATTGTGTGAGGAGCTCAAAAATCCTTGAAAGATCTGGGCAAGGTCCCATCGGTGAGCTCCTCCGGCGGGGAAGGCTACGATGGCTGGGTCATGCAGCTCGCATGCCCAACCACCGCATGCCGAAACAGCTTTTGTTCGGCCGGATCGAGGGGGCTAAGCGGGCGCGGCACGGGCTAGAGAAGAGATGGAGCGATGTGGTACAGGAGGACGTGGAGCTGAGTGGACTTGCCGATGACTGGTACCAGCGGGGTCAAGATCGGCCTCTGTGGAGGAGGCTCGTGAAGGACGCTACTGGGCAGTTGGAGGCAGTCGCCCTCCAACAACAACGGAGGGCGGAGGAGCGACGCTCACAACAACGAGCAGAGCGCCGGGTGGCTAAAGCACAGCAGGTTGGCACAATAGGGGGCACAGGTGGTGCATCAGCCAGTCATCTCAGTCAGTCGACCCATGGCACCTGGGTCTGCCCCGTGACCTGCCAGCGGGCGTTCAACACTTCACGTGGCCTCAAGGTGCACATAGCCTGGCACAAGTATCGTGGTGACGTCACCGCCACTTAGTGGCGAATGGCGGTTATTTTGTATGTGTGGTGTGTGTGTGTATGTACGTGTGTGTGGTGTGTGTGTATGTGTGTGTGTGTATGTGTGTGTATGTATGTGTGTGTATGTATGTACGTGTGTGTGGTGTGTGTGTGTAGGTGTGTGGGTGATTGGCTCCTCCCCTCATGGCATATGTGTCCACCACAGGGGCTAAACGGGGGCTCTGGACGGGTGCGAGGGGCTGGTAACCCCTCCACCTTCAATTAATTACCACGAAACCACGAGTTAAACTGAAATATGTAACTAATAAGCTTGTGCCGGAGGCCCCGGGGGGCCAGGCGTCTATGACGTCTCCTGGCCAAACCCCAATTGGCGGAGCCAGGAGATTGAATACCTACCCTCGGGGCTACTCCAGAAACAACGAAAAGCCACTACGGGTGGCCACGTGGAATGTTCGAAACGCTCACTGCGGAGGAGAGGCTGCCACTCCTCTGTCGGGAGCTGGACCGGTACCGCCTGGATCTATGCGGCATTCAGGAGGTCCGGTGGACCGGCTCTGGCTCCTGCCACCATGAGGGGTGGACAGTCCTCTACTCGGGGCAGCAGACTGCCAAACAACAGGGTGTGGCTCTTCTTTTGAACAAAAGAATGAAGGGGGCGTGGGAGCGTGGCGGTGAGGTGTGGGAAGCTGTAAGCCCCAGGCTACTTTGGGCTCGCCTTCCCATCAACCGGAGGCGAGGAATGGTGGTCGTGGTTACTTATGCCCCCACCGAAGATGAACATCCGTGGAGGGATGCAGGCAAAGCCGATGAGTCAGATGCCTTCTATGACCTCCTGTCACAGGTGCTGGCTAAAGTGGCCCCTCGGGATAGAGTCATCATGTTGGGTAACTTCAATGCCCGAGTTGGTCATGATACTGGCACCTGGTCTGGAGTGATTGGAGGGCATGGGCCAGATCAGCTCAATAACAACGGTAGGAGGCTGCTAGATTTTTGTGCAGCCCATGGGCTTGTAATTACCAACACACTGTTCCGGCATCGGCGCATCCACACAACATCATGGATGCATGCCGGGTCCAAGCAAGAACATCTGCTGGACTACATAGTGATGGACCAGCGGATGCGAGCCCATGTCCTTGACACCAGGACCTACCGTGGAGCTGATCTGCCCTCTGACCATCGACTAGTCATCTGTAAGATGCGCCTGCCATTCTTCCACTCCGGTGGTGGGTGTACACCCATTCCGACCTAAAGTGGCCTGGTCTCAGTTATCTGATGAAAGTTGCAAGTGAGAATTTCATCATCGCTTGCGGCTGGGATTGGCATCGTCCCCGACTCCTCCTGATGTCGAGGGTAAATGGGTGAGGTTTAGGACTGTGACTCATGCAGCTGCAATGGCTGCTTTGGGTACGCGGTCCAGACCTCCCCAGAGACCCTGGCTGACAGAGGAGGTGTTCAGGATGGTTGAGAAAAAGCGACAGGCCCACTGCCATCGGCTACAGAATCCCACGTCAGAGAATGAGGAGGCTTACCGCAGCCTTCGCTCGGAGGTTCGGAGAGCCGTGAGGCGCTGCAAGGATGGGTGGTGGTCGCGGGTTGCTGAGGAGATGGAGTCTGCCTCAGTTTCCCATGATCATAAATCTCTATTTAACTCCATCAAAAAAGTAACCTGCAGCGCCACACCTATTACCATCATTAGGGGAAAAAACGGTGATCCAATCTCCGACCCCCAGGAACAGGTTTGCAGATTTGCTGAGCATTTCTGTGAGGTCCTGGGGGAGGGAAAATCCCACAGCCAGGAAAAAAATCGTGGCACAAAGTGAGGATGACCCTGCTGAGGCTGCGGTGCCTCAAATATTGGAAGAAGTCACCCCCTGTGAGTGGCTGGCTGAGGTGCCATCTGCTGAGGAAGTATTGAAGGCGATCTGGAGTCTGAGACCAGGAAAGGCAGCGGGCAGAGATAATCTCCCAAGCGAAATGCTGAGGGAGGGTGGCGTTTGTGCACAGACTGCCCTATATGACATCATAACAACAGTCTGGACCACTGGACGGGTTCCGCAGGATTGGAAGGATGCCCTGGTGGTCCCCCTTTTTAAGAAGGGGGACCGCACAGACTGTAACAACTACAGGGGCATCTCACTCCTCAGTGTTCCGGGAAAGGTCCTGGCAAGGATTATTCAGCATCGCCTTGCCAGGCACGCTGAGGAGAGGCTTGCGGAGCCCCAATGCGGTTTCAGGAAAGGGCGGTCCTGCACAGATGCCATATTTTCTGTTCGTTTGCTACAGCAGAGGTGTAGGGAATTCCAACAAGACCTACATCTCTGCTTTATTGACCTGGTCAAGGCCTATGATACCATCAGTAGGCCTGGGCTCTGGGTCGTTCTTCGTGCTTTTGGAGTACCTGACCCTCTGCTCACGATCATTAAGGACCTTCATGATGGTGAGGGCGTGGCCCGGGTAAAACTACGTGGCCGGGAGTCAGAGCCATTCCCTGTACACCTTGGGGTGCGACAGGGATGTCCTCTGGCTCCCACATTATTTAACATCTATTTTGACCACGTAGTTCATGAAGCCTTCAATAGCTGTACCGGGGGAATCTCCATATGGTACAGATATAATGGGAGGCTAATCGATGCCCGGGTGCGGTCAAGGGATGGCTCCCTATTGCTCAACCACGTTATGTATGCTGATGATTTGGTAATAGCTGCTCAGTCAGAGGAGGAGTTGGAGACGCTGCTGCTGAGACTGGAGCGTGCCACTAAGAGGTGGGGCCTTACCATCAGCCCCACCAAAACTAAGCACCTGCCTGGGTATTTTGTACCATCGGACACTCCACTCCCATAACTCCCAATCGGTGATGGGGCAGTTGTGGAGAGAGTGGAGAGTTTCCCATACCTGGGCAGTGTGCTTTTGACTGGCTCCAGTTTAACAGCAGAGGTCTCACTCCGAATCAGTCGAGTGGCAATATCTTTTCATCGGTTGCGTAACGCTGTGTGGAAGCTACCTGGTCTGTCGCTCCGCACTAAGCTTCAGGTCTTCTCGGCCACGGTCATTCCCTCCCTTCTCTACGCTTGCGAAACGTGGACCCCCCTGGTGGAACGTCTTCGCCGGTTGGAAACATTTGGGCTGGCCTGCCCGCGATCCATCCTGGGTTTAACCGGACTGGATTGTGTGAGGAGCTCACAAATCCTTGGAAGATCTGGGCGGGGTCCCATCGGTGAGCTCCTCCGGCGGGCAGGGCTGCGATGGCTGGGTCGTGTGGCCCGCATGCCCAGCCACCGCATGCCGAGGCAGCTTTTGTTTGGCCGGATCGGGGGGGCTGGGCGGCGGGCGCGGCGCGGGCTAGAGAGGAGATGGAGTGATGTGGTACAGGAGGACGTGGAGTTGAGTGGACTTGCCGATGACTGGTACCAGCGGTATCAAGATCGGCCTCTGTGGAGGAGGCTCGTGAAGGACGCTACTGGGCAGTTGGAGGCAGTCGCCCTCCAAAAACAACGGAGGGCGGAGGAGCGACGCTCAGAACAACGAGCGGAGCGCCGGGTGGCTAAAGCACAGCAGGTTGGCACAGTAGGGGGCACAGGTGGTGCATCAGCCAGTCATCTAAGTCAGTCGACCCGTGGCACCTGGGTCTGCCCCGTGACCTCCTGCCAGCGGGTGTTCGACACTTCACGTGGCCTCAGGGTGCACATAGCCTGGCACAAGCGTCGTGGTGACGTCACCGCCACTTAGTGGCGAATGGCGGTTGTTGTTGTGTGTGTGGTGTGTGTGTGGTGTGTGTATGTGTGGTGTATGTGTATGTGTGCTGTATATATGTATGTACGTGTGTATGTGTGGTGTGTGTGTATGCGTGCTGTATGTACGTGTGTGTATGTGTGCTGTACGTACGTGTGTGTGGTGTATGTACGTGTGTGTGGTGTGTGTGTGCTGTATGTACGTGTGTGTGGCGTGTGTGTGCGTAGGTGTGTGTATGTGTGGTGTGTGTGGTGTGTGTATGCACGTGTGTGTGGTGTGTGTGTGTGGTGTATGTGTGGTGTATGTGTGTGTGCTGTATGTACGTGTGTGTGGTGTGTGTGTGGTGTGTGTGTGTGGTGTATGTACGTGTGTGTGGTGTGTGTGTGCTGTGTGTGTGCTGTATGTATGTATGTACGTGTGTGTGCTGTGTGTGTGTGTGCTGCAGGCTATGCCCCAGGCTATGCGGCCTCTGCTGCAGGCTATCCCCCAGGAGTGTTCCCTCCAGCTGGGGTCAACTTCCCGTCGGGTGAGCCGTTACAGCCCAGTACCACCACAACCACAACAACCACCACAACCACCACCACAACTACCTTCACCACCACCACCACCTTCACCAGCACCACCACCACAACCACCACCACCTTCACAACCACCTTAACCACCACAACCACCACCTTCACCACCACCTTCACCACCACCTTCACCACCACCTTCACCACCACTACCTTCACCACCACCTTCACCACTACAACCACCACAACCACCACCACCTTCACCACCACCTTCACCACCACTACCACCACCACAACCACCACCACCTTCACCACCACCACAACCACCTTCACCACCACCACCACCACCTTCACCACCCCAACCACCACCACCACAACCACCACCACCTTCACCACTACCACAACCACTACCACCACCTTCACCACCGCCACAACCACCACCACCACCACCTTCACCACCACTACCACCACCTTCACCATCACCACAACCACCACAACCACCACCACCTTCACCACCACTACCACCACCTTCACTACCACCTTCACTACCACCGCCACCACCACAACCACCACAACCACTACCACCTTCACCACCACCGCCACCACCACAACCACCACATCCACCACCTTCACTACCACCTTCACCGCCACCACATTCACCACCACCACCACCACAACCACCTTCACCACCTTCACCACCACCTTCACCACCTTCACCACCATCACCTTCACCACCACCTCCACCACAACCACCTTCACCACCACCACAACCACCTTCACCACCACTACCACCACCTTTACTACCACCACCACCACCTTCACCACATTCACCACCACCACCACCACCACAACCACCACAACCACCACTACCACCTTAACCACCACCACCTTCACCACCACCACCACAACCACCACTACCACCTTAACCACCACCTTCACCACCACAACCACCACCACAACCACCTTCACTACCACAACCATCACCACAACCACCTTCACTACCACCACCACAACCACCTTCACTACCACCACCACTGCCACCTTCACTACCACCTTCACCACCACCACCTTTACCACCATCACCTTCACCACCACCACAACCACCTTCACCACCACAACCATCACCACAACCACCTTCACTACCACCACAACCACCACCACCACAACCACCTTCACTACCACCACCACTGCCACCTTCACCACCACTACCACCACCACTACCACCACAACCACCACTACCACCTTAACCACCACCACCACCTTCACCACCACAACCACAACCACCTTCACTACCACCTTCACCACCACCACCTTCACCACCACCACAACCACCACAACCACCTTCACCCCCACCACCACAACCACCTTCACTACCACCTTCACCATCACCTTCACCACCACCACAACCACCTTCACCACCACAACCATCACCACAACCACTTTCACTACCACCTTCACTACCACCACCACAACCACCTTCACTACCACCACCACTGCCACCTTCACTACCACCTTCACCACCACCTTCACCACCAGCACAAGCTTCACCACCACAACCACCACAACCACCACCACCACAACCACCTTCACCACAACCACCTTCACTACCACCACCTTCACTACCACCTTCACCACCACCACCTTCACCACCACCACCACCTTCACCACCACAACCACCACCACCACAACCACCTTCACTACCACCTTCACTACCACCTTCACTACCACCTTCACCACCACCACCTTCACCACCACAACCACCTTCACTACCACTTTCACCACCTTCACCACCACCACAACCTTCACCACCACCACCACTACCACCTTCACCACCACCACAACCTTCACCACCACCACAACCACCTTCACCACAACCACCTTCACTACCACCATCACAACCACCTTCACTACCACCACCACCTTCACCACCACCACCTTCACTACCACCTTCACCACCACCACCTTCACTACAACCACCACAACCACCACTACCACCTTAACCACCACCACCTTCACCACCACAACCACCACCACAACCACCTTCACTACCACCTTCACCACCACCACCTTCACCACAACCACCACAACCACCTTCACCCCCACCACCACAAGCACCTTCACTACCACCTTCACCATCACCTTCACCACCACCACAACCACCTTCACCACCACAACCATCACCACAACCACTTTCACTACCACCTTCACTACCACCACCACAACCACCTTCACTACCACCACCACTGCCACCTTCACTACCACCTTCACCACCACCTTCACCACCAGCACAAGCTTCACCACCACAACCACCACAACCACCACCACCACAACCACCTTCACCACAACCACCTTCACTACCACCACCTTCACTACCACCTTCACCACCACAACCACCACCACCACAACCACCTTCACTACCACCTTCACTACCACCTTCACTACCACCTTCACCACCACCACCTTCACCACCACAACCACCTTCACTACCACTTTCACCACCTTCACCACCACCACAACCTTCACCACCACTACCACCTTCACCACCACCACAACCTTCACCACCACCACAACCACCTTCACCACAACCACCTTCACCACAACCACCTTCACTACCACCATCACAACCACCTTCACTACCACCACCACCTTCACCACCACCTTCACTACAACCACCACAACCACCTTCACTACCACCTTCACTACCACCTTCACCACCAACACCTTCACCACTTTCACTACCACCACGACAACCACCTTCACTACCACCTTCACCACCTCCACCACCACCACAACCACCACAAGCACCTTCACCACCACCTTAGCCATCTCTACCACCACTATAGCCATCACTACCACCACTACTATAGCCATCACTACTACCACGACTACTATAGCCACCACTACTACTATAGCCATCACTACTACCATTACTACAGCCATCACTACTACCACTACTATAGCCATCACTACTACTACTATAGCCATCACTACTACCACTACTATAGCCATCACTACTACCACTACTACAGCCATCACTACTACCACTACTATAGCCATCACTACTACAGCCATCACTCCTACCACTACTATCGCCATCACTACTACTACTATAGCCATCACTACTACCACTACTATAGCTATCACTACTACTACTACTATAGCCATCACTACTACCACTACTATAGCCATCACTACTACTATAGCCATCACTACTACTACTACTATAGCCATCACTACTACTATAGCCATCACTACTACTATCGCCATCACTACTACCACTACTACTATAGCCATCACTATTACCACTACTATAGCCATCACTACTACCACTACTATAGCCATCACTACTACCACTACTACTATAGCTATCACTACCACCACTACTATAGCCATCACTACTACTACTACTATAGCCATCACCACTACTACTATAGCCATCACTACTACCACTACTATAGCCATCACCACTACTACTATAGCCATCACTACTACTACTACTATAGCCATCACCACTACTACTATAGCCATCACTACTACTGCCATCACTACTACCACTACTATAGCCATCACTACCACCACTACTATATCCATCACTACCACCACTACTATAGCCATCACTACTACTACTATAGCCATCACTACTACCACTACTATAGCCATCGCTACTACCACTACTATAGCCATCACTACTACCACTACTACTATAGTCATCACTACTACCACTACTACTATAGCCATCACTACTACCACTACTGTAGCCATCACTGCTACCACTACTATAGCCATCACTACCACCACTACTACTATAGCCATCACTACTACCACTACTACTATAGCCATCACTACTACTATAGCCATCACTACTACCACTACTGTAGCCATCACTACTACCACTACTGTAGCCATCACTGCTACCACTACTATAGCCATCACCACTACCACTACTACTATAGCCATCACTACTACTACTATAGCCATCACCACTACTACTATAGCCATCACTACTACCACTACTATAGCCATCACTACCACCACTACTATATCCATCACTACCACCACTACTGTAGCCATCACTACTACTACTATAGCCATCACTACTACTACTACTATAGCCATCACTACTACCACTACTATAGCCATCGCTACTACCACTACTATAGCCATCACTACTACCACTACTACTATAGCCATCACTACTACCACTACTACTATAGCCATCACTACTACCACTACTATAGCCATCACTACTACCACTACTGTAGCCATCACTGCTACCACTACTATAGCCATCACTACCACCACTACTACTATAGCCATCACTACTACCACTACTATAGCCATCACTACTACCACTACTGTAGCCATCACTGCTACCACTACTATAGCCATCACCACTACCACTACTACAGCCATCACCACTACCACTACTACAGCCATCACTACTACCACTACTATAGCCATCACTACCAACACTACTATAGCCATCACTACTACCACCCCCGTAGCCACCATAGCCATCACTAGCACCACCACCATAGCCATAACTAGCACCTCCACCACCACCATAGCCATCACTACCACCTCCACCACCATCGCCATCACTACCACCACCTTAGCCATCACTACCACCTCCACCACCACCATAGCTATCACTACCACAACCGTAGCCATCACCACCACCATAGCCCTCACTACCACCACCATAGCCATCACTGCCATATTGCCATCACTGCCATAGCCATCACTGACATAGCCTGCACTATCATAGCCATCACTACTCTAAGAATTAATTGTTTGATGTTTACAATTTGATAACACTTGAAAAATCACTCGCTACCATACGGTTTGGGGACGGGTGGGTGGGGGAGGGGTTTGTGGGGGTGGGGGGACAGGGTGGGGGTGGGGGTTATATTTTTTTCCGAATACCAGCGGTTAAAAGGATTCAGAAAACCAGCGTTTGAAAGGGTTCAGAAAACCAGCGGTTAAAAGGGTTCAGAAAACCAGCGGTTAAAAGGATTCAGAAAACCAGCGGTTGAAAGGGTTCAGAAAACCAGCGGTTAAAAGGAATCAGAAAACCAGCGGTTAAATGGGTTCAGAAAACCAGCGGTTGAAAGGGTTCAGAAAACCAGCGGTTGAAAGGGTTCAGAAAACCAGCGGTTAAAAGGGTTCAGAAAACCAGCGGTTAAAAGGATTCAGAAAACCAGCGGTTGAAAGGGTTCAGAAAACCAGCGGTTAAAAGGGTTCAGAAAACCAGCGGTTGAAAGGGTTCAGAAAACCAGCGGTTGAAAGGGTTCAGAAAACCAGCGGTTGAAAGGGTTCAGAAAACCAGCGGTTAAAAGGATTCAGAAAACCAGCAGTTGAAAGGGTTCAGAAAACCAGCGGTTAAAAGGGTTCAGAAAACCAGCGGTTGAAAGGGTTCAGAAAACCAGCGGTTGAAAGGGTTCAGAAAACCAGCGGTTGAAAGGGTTCAGAAAACCAGCGGTTAAAAGGGTTCAGAAAACCAGCGGTTAAAAGGGTTCAGAAAACCAGCGGTTGAAAGGGTTCAGAAAACCAGCGGTTGAAAGGGTGCAGAAAACCAGCGGTTGAAAGGGTTCAGAAAACCAGCGGTTGAAAGGGTTCAGAAAACCAGTGGTTAAAAGGGTTCAGAAAACCAGCGGTTAAAAGGGTTCAGAAAACCAGCGGTTAAAAGGATTCAGAAAACCAGCGGTTAAAAGGGTTCAGAAAACCAGCGGTTAAAAGCAGGGTTCAGAAAACCAGCGGTTAAAAGCAGGGTTCAGAAAACCAGCGGTTAAAAGCAGGGTTCAGAAAAGCAGCGGTTAAAATTGTTGAAAAAACCAGCGGTTAAAAGCAGGGTTCAGAAAACCAGCGGTTAAAATTGTTGAAAAAAAAACAGCGGTTAAAAGCGGGATTTAGAAAACCAGCGGTTAAAAGCAGGGTTCAGAAAACCAGCGGTTAAAATTGTTGAAAAAAAACAGCGGTTAAAAGCGGGATTTAGAAAACCAGCGGTTAAAATCAGGGTTCAGAAAACCAGCGGTTAAAAGCAGGGTTCAGAAAAGCAGCGGTTAAAATTGTTGAAAAAACCAGCGGTTAAAAGCAGGGTTCAGAAAACCAGCGGCGGTTAAAATTGTTGAAAAAAAACAGCGGTTAAAAGCGGGATTTAGAAAACCAGCGGTTACAAGCAGGGTTCAGAAAACCAGCGGTTAAAAAGGGGGAGGGGGGGGGGGGGGCAGGTGTAGCGGCCGTGCGTTTTTTTTTTTTGGTTTGCGTTGCCATTTGGCGTCGGCGGCGTCGGCGGCGTCGGTGTTGGTGCTTTTGGTGACGTTTCTGCGGTCAACGTCCCGACCGTTAATCTCCCTCGTGACGGCACACAAGGCGTGTGCGCGTGTGCGTCGTGTGCCGCCGAAGGCTACGGCGCTGCCGCCGCCGCCGCTGCTGCTGCGGCGGCCGCCTCGGCCCAGTACAAGATGCCGCTCGGCCAGGGCGGCGGCGGCGGCGGCGGCGGCGGCGGCGGCGGTGGCGGCGGGCTGCCCGCCTACCCGCCCGCGCCCAACCCTTACCAGGCCGGTGCCGGCGGACTCTACCCGATGCGCGGAGCGGTGGCAGCCGCGCAGGGGCTCTACACGCAGGTGGGCGGCGAGCGGTGGTGGCGAGGGTGGGTTGGTGGTAGTGGTGGTGGTGGTGGTGTTGGTGATGAGTGAGTGAGAGAGAGAGCAGGTGAGAGGGTGGGTGGGAGAGAGGGTGAGTGGGTGAGAGGGTGAGTGGGTGAGAGGGTGAGTGGGTGAGAGGGTGAGTGGGTGAGAGGGTGAGTGGGTGAGAGGGTGAGTGGGTGAGAGGGTGAGTGGGTGAGTGGGTGAGTTGGTGAGAGGGTGAGTGGGTGAGAGAGTGAGAGGGTGAGAGGGTGAGTGCGTGGTGGGTTAGTGGGTGAGTGGGTGAGAGGGTGAGTGGGTAAGAGGGTGAGTGGGTGAGAGGGTGAGTGCGTGGTGGGTGAGTGGGTGAGAGGGTGAGTGGATGAGCGGGTGAGTGCGTGGTGGGTGAGTGGATGAGTGGGTGAGAGGGTGAGTGGGTGAGAGGGTGCCTGGGTGAGTGGGTGAGAGGGTGAGTGGGTGAGAGGGTGAGTGGGTGAGTGGGTGAGTGGGTGAGAGGGTGAGTGGGTGAGAGGGTGAGTGGGTGAGTGGGTGAGAGGGTGAATGGGTAACAGGGTGCGTGGGTGAGTGGGTAACAGGGTGCGTGAGTGGGTGAGAGGGTGAGAGGGTGAGAGGGTGAGTGGGTGAGAGGGTGAGTGGGTGAGAGGGTGAGTGGGTGAGTGGGTGAGAGGGTGAGTGGGTGAGTGGGTGAGTGGGTGAGAGGGTGAGTAGGTGAGAGGGTGAGTGGGAGAGAGGGTGAGTGGATGAGCGGGTGAGAGGGTGAGAGGGTGAGTGGATGAGTGGGTGAGAGGGTGAGAGGGTGAGAGGGTGAGAGGGTGAGTGGGTAAGAGGGTGAGAGGGTGAGTGGGTGAGAAGGTGCGTGGGTGAGTGGGTGAGAGGGTGAGTGGGTGAGAGGGTGAGTGGGAGAGAGGGTGAGTGGGAGAGAGGGTGAGTGGGTGAGAGGGTGAGTGGGTAACAGGGTGCGTGGGTGAGTGGGTAACAGGGTGCGTGAGTGAGTGGGTGAGAGGGTGAGTAGGTGAGGGTGAGTGGGAGAGAGGGTGAGTGGGTGAGAGGGTGAGTGGGTAACAGGGTGCGTGGGTGAGTGGGTAACAGGGTGCGTGAGTGAGTGGGTGAGAGGGTGAGTAGGTGAGAGGGCTTGAGTGGGTGAGTGGGAGAGAGGGTGAGCTGTTGGCTGAGAGGGAGAGTGCCTGTGTGTCTACCTCCGTGGTGTCTTCGCGTGGCATTGACCACGCCCCACCCTGCCCTGCTCCACCCTGCCCTGCCCCGCCCGGCCCCCCGCGCGAAGAGCGCGTTCTACCCGCAGCCCGTGTACGCGTCGGCCCCGCCGCAGGTGATCCACCACACCACGGTGGTGCAGCCCAACGGCGTCTCGGCCGCCCTCTACCCTCCACCACAGCCGCTGGGGCATGGGCGGCACGCGCTGCCTCCCCTGGGCCTCATCACCGGCACCATGGCCATGTCCGCCGGTCGGTGGCGCGCACGCTTGCACGCTTGCACGCACGCACTCACGCAGGCACGCACGCTCGCTCGCTCGCTCGCTCGCAAGCACGCACTGACCGAGATGACTGAGATAACTGGCTGATGCACCACCTGTGCCCCCTGCTGTGCACTGTCGCACCCCAAGGTGTACAGGGAATGGCTCCGACTCCCGGCCACGTAGTTTTACCCGGGCCCGCTCGCCATCATGAAGGTCCTCAATGATCGTGAGCAGAGGGTCAGGGACCCCCGAAAGCACGAAGAACAACCCAGAGCCCAGGCCTACTGATGGTATCATAGGCCTTGACCAGGTCAATAAAGCAGAGATGTAGGTCTTGTTGGAATTCCCTACACCTCTGCTGTAGCAGACGGACAGAAAATATGGCATCTGTGCAGGACCGCCCTAGCTTAAAACCGCATTGGGGCTCCGCAAGCCTCTCCTCAGCGTGCCTGGCAAGGCGATGTTGAATAATGCTTGCCAGGACCTTTCCTGGCACACTGAGGAGTGAGATGCCCCTGTAGTTACAGTCTGTGCGGTCCCCCTTCTTAAAGATGGGGACCACCAGGGCATCCTTGCAGTCCTGCGGAACCCGTCCAGTCGTCCAGACTGTTGTTATGATGTCATGTAGGGCAGTCTGTGCACGAACGCCATCTTCCCTCAGCATTTCGCTTGGGAGATCATCTCTGTCCGGTGTCTTTCCTGGTCTCAGACTCTAGATCGCCTTCAGAACTTCCTCAACAGATGGCACCTCAGCCAGCCACTCACAGGGAGTGATTTCTTCCAATATTTGAGGCACCGCAGCCTCAGCAGGGTCATCCCCACTTTGTCCCACGTTGTTATCCAGGCTGAGGGATGTCCCCTCCCCCAGGACCTCACGGAAATGTTCAGCAAATCTGCAAAGCCTGTTCCTGACAAAGACAAAGATTCCCCGTATAGTTTGGATCACCGTTCTTTCCCCTAATGATGGTGATAGGTGTGGCGCTGCAGGTTACTTTTTTGATGGAATTAAAGAGCGATTTGTGATCGCGGGCCACTGAGGCAGGCTCCATCTCCTCAGCAACCCACGACCACCACCCATCCTTGCAGCGCCTCACGGCTCTCCGAACCTCCGAGTGAAGGCTGCGGTAAGCCTCCTCATTCTCCGACGTGGGATGCTGTAGCCGATGAGAGTGGGCCTGTTGCTTATTCTCAGCCAGTCTGAACACCTCCTCTGTCAGCCAGGGTCTCTGGGGAGGTCTGAACCGTGTACCCAAAGCAGCTATTGCAGCTGCATGAGCCACAGTCCTAAACCTCGCCCATTTACCCTCGACATCAGGAGGAGTCGGGGACGATGCCAACCCCAGCTGCAAGCGATGATGAAATTCTCACTTGCAACTTTCATCAGATAACTGAGACCAGGCCACTTTAGGTTTGAATGGGGTCCTGGGTGTACACCCACCACCGGAGTGGAAGAATGGCAGGCGCATCTTACAGATGACTAGTCGATGATCAGTGGGCAGATCAGCTCCACGGTAGGTCCTGGTGTCACGGACATGGGCCCGCATCCGCTATTCCGTCACTATGTAGTCCAGCAGATGTTCTTGCTTGGACCCGGCATGCATCCATGATGTTGTGTGGATGCGCCGATTTCGGAACAGCGTGTTGATAATTACAAGCCCATGGGCTGCACAAAAATCTAGCAGCCTCTTACCATTGTTATTGAGCTGATCTGGCCCATGCCTTCCCATCACTCCAGACCAGGTGCCAGCATCATGACCAACTCGGGCATTGAAGTCACCCAACAAGATTACTCTATCCTGAGGGGCCACTTTAGCTAGCACCTGTGAAAGGAGGTCATAGAAGGCATCTGACTCATCGGCCTTGCCTGCATCCCTCCACGGATGTTCGTCTTCGGTGGGGGCATAAGTAACCACGACCACCACTCCTCACCTCCGGTTGATAGGAAGGCGAGCCCAAAGTAGTCAGGGGCTTACAGCTTCCCACACCTCACCGCCACCCTCCCACGCCCCCTTCATCATTTTGTTCAGAAGAAGAGGCACTCCCTGTTGTTTGGTAGTCTCCTGCCCCAAGAAGAGGTCTGTCCCACCCCTCAGTGGCAGGAGCCAGAACCTTTCCACCGGACCTCCTGAATGTCACAGAGATCCAGGCGGTACCGGTCCAGCTCCTGACAGAGGAGTGGCAGCCTCTCCTCCGCTGTGAGCGTTCGAACATTCCACGTGGCCACACGAAGTGGCTTTTCCTTGTTTCTGGAGGAGCCCCGAGGGTAGAGATTCAATCTCCTGGCTCCGCCAATTGGGGTTTGGCCAGGAGACGTTATAGACGCCTGTCCCCCCGGGGCCTCCGGCACAAGCTTATTAGTTACATATTTTAGACGTGGTTTAGTGGTAAATTTTTGACGGTGGAGGGGTTACCAGCCCCTCGGACCCGTCCAGAGCCCCCGTTTAGCCCCTGTGGTGGTCACGGACGCCATGAGGGGAGGAGCCAATCGGAATTGGCCTCTCCCCCCCAACAGCGCTGTCCACGACAGAGTTGCCCGTCCGGCACCGCGAGGAGGTAGGGGCTTGTTTTGCCAGACTCGCACACACCGACACAGACACACACACACACACACGCGCAGACACACGCACACACACACACACGTACGCGCGCGTGCATGTGCTGCATGTGTACGTACAAGTCCCTTGCTGTCGCTCCACTGCTGGATGACGACAGCACTCCCCGGTCGCGTGGTGGTGGTGGTGGTGGGGGTGTTTGATTTGACCGTACTTCACCACGCGGGTCAGTGCAGGTTCGCGAAGGTTTGGAGAACAGACGTGGGAGGAGAGGAGTAGAGTTCAACATTGGATGTTGCTGCACTGCCCTCCGGTGCTCACATCCCATCAGCCCCATAGCGCCTGTTATGCATGGTGCATACCGGGTGAATTGGAGATGCATACGCGCGCACGTGCCGCTGCACGCACACCCGCACACGCTTGCCCGCGCACCGTACGGGGACGACGATCCTGGGCTAGAATGAGGCCTGGTTGGCGGGGGCAAGTGCTCACGTACAGGGACGACGATCCTGGGCTAGATTGAGGCCTGGTTGGGGGGCAAGTGCTCACGTACAGAGACGACGATCCTGGGCTAGAATGAGGCCTGGTTGGCGGGGGGCAAGTGCTCACGTACAGGGACGACGATCCTGGGCTAGAATGGGGCCTGGTTGGGGGGGCAAGTGCTCACGTACAGGGACGACGATCCTGGGTTAGAATGAGGCCTGGTTGGGGGGCAAGTGCTCACGTACAGGGACGACGATCCTGGGCTAGAATGAGGCCTGGTTGGGGGCAAGTGCTCACGTACGGAGATGACGGTCCTGGGTTAGAATGGGGCCGTTTTGGGGGGGGCAAGTGCTCATGCTCACGTACAGAGACGACGATCCTGGGCTAGAATGAGGCTGTTTGGGGGGGCAAGTGCTCACACTCACGTACAGAGATGACGATCCTGGGCTAGAATGAGGCTGTTTGAGGGGGCAAGTGCTCACACTCACATACAGAGATGACGATCCTGGGCTAGAATGAGGCTGTTTGGGGGGGCAAGTGCTCACGCTCACATACAGAGATGACGATCCTGGGCTAGAATGAGGCTGTTTGGGGGGGCAAGTGCTCACACTCACGTACAGAGATGACGATCCTGGGCTAGAATGAGGCTGTTTGGGGGGGCAAGTGCTCACACTCACGTACAGAGATGACAATCCTGGGCTAGAATGAGCCTGTTTGGGGGCAAGTGCTCACGCTCACATACAGAGATGACGATCCTGGGCTAGAATGAGGCTGTTTGGGGGGGCAAGTGCTCACGCTCACATACAGAGATGACAATCCTGGGCTAGAATTAGGCTGTTTGGGGGGGCAAGTGCTCACACTCACTTACAGAGATGACGATCCTGGGCTAGAATGAGGCTGTTTGGGGGGGCAAGTGCTCACACTCATGTACAGAGATGACGATCCTGGGCTCGAATGAGGCTGTTTGGGGGGGCAAGTGCTCACACTCACGTACAGAGATGACAATCCTGGGCTAGAATGAGGCTGTTTGGGGGCAAGTGCTCACACTCACGTACAGAGACGACGATCCTGGGCTAGAATGAGGCTGTTTGGGGGGGCAAGTGCTCACGCTCACGTACAGAGACGACGATCCTGGGCTAGAATGAGGCTGTTTGGGGGGGCAAGTGCTCACACTCACGTTCAGAGACGACGATCCTGGGCTAGGATGAGGCTGTTTGGGGGGGCAAGTGCTCACGCTCACGTACAGAGTTGACGATCCTGGCCTCGAGTGAGCCTGTTTGAGGAGGCAAGTGCTCACTCGTGCACCGTACAGAGACGCCGATCGTGGGCTCGAGTGAGCCTGTTTGGGGGCAGGTGTTGTGAGTAGCGAACGCCAGCACCGGCGCGCGCGAGCGAGCCGGGGTGTGGGCGGTCAGCGCCGTGCCCGGCCGCCTCCATCTCCCCAGCGGCGATGTTTGTGCATGCACACAGACACGCACACACAGACACGCACACACAGACACGCACACACAGACACGCACACACAGACACGCACACACAGACACGCACACACAGACAGACACGCACACACAGACGCGCACACACAGACACGCACACACAAACACGCACACACAGACACGCACACACAGACACGCACACACAGACACGCACACACAGACACGCACACACAGACACGCACACACAGACACGCACACTCACCCACAGGACAAAGATCCCACCTATACCTGGGGCAAGTGCTGTCAGCGAGTAGCAGCAGCAGCGCCTGTGAAGGCTACCGGCACTGTGGTTACACGAGGGGGGTGGGTGGCCAGCACCACGCCCGGCCGCCTTTGTCTCTCCCCCAGTGGCGATGTTTAATACACACCGGACCAGGTGACTCATTTGAGGCTGAGTCGACCTAGGGGAGGCCCCGGACCGGTTCATATAACCGTCACCGGTGTTGGCCGTGAGCGGGAATCGAACCCGGGTCGCCAGGTTTGTAGCGCAGCGTAGCGCTCACACACACACAGTGACACACACACAGTGACACACACAGTGACACGCACACAGTGACACGCACACACAGTGACACACACACAGTGACACATACACAGTGACACACACAGACACACACAGTGACACACACAGTGACACAGACACACACAGACACACACAGTGACACAGACACACACACACACAGACACACACACAGTGACACACGCAGTGACACACACACGCAGTGACACAGACACACACACAGTGACACACACACACACAGAGATCCCCCGTATAGCCTGATCAGACTTTTGGGGCAAGTGCTATTTGCGAGCGCCTACGACACACGCACACAGAACACACACACACACACGTTAACAAAAATACACACGTACACACACGTACACACAAGTACACACACGTACACACACGTACGCACACGTGCGCACACGCACGCACACGCGCGCACACACACACACACACGTACACACACACACGTACACACACACGCGCACACACACACGTACACACACACGCGCACACACACGCACACACACACGTACACACGCGCACGCGCACACACACACGTACACACACGTACACACGTACACACACACGCGCACACACACGCACACACGTACACACGTACACACACACGCGCACACACACGCACACACACGCTCAGTGGAGACCAGCACCACCAGCAGCACCACCACCAGCAGCACCACCACCAGCCACCACCACCAGCCACCACCACCAGCCACCACCACCAGCACCACCACCGGCACCACCACCACCACCAGCACCACCACCACCAGCACCACCACCAGCACCACCACCACCAGCACCACCATCACCACTACTACCACCACCGATGTAATTTTTTGTTTTTCACGACACGTCAATCAAAAACCGTTGCGACGATTCTCCCGACCCTCCGACTTCCCCCCCCCCCCGCACGCCCCCCCCCCCCGCGGTGTTTGTATCGTTGTCGCCTTGCAGTGCGAGCCCCCCACGCACGTTCCCCAACGTCTCTCTCCTCCCTCCCTTATTTTGGTTTTGTGTTTACCCACCCACCCACCCACCACCACCCCCCACGCCCGCCCACCACCCCCACCACCCCACCACCCCCACCACCACCCCCCGCGCCCGCCCACCACCACCCCACCCCGACGATGATGACGACGACGATGATGATGGTGATGATGATGGTGACGACGATGGCGATGATGGCGACGACTATAACGATGACGACGACGATGACGACGATGATGATGATGGTGACGACGATGACGACGACGGGAAGCCGCCGCCGGATTCGTTGAGCGGCTCTCGCTTGCGACGGCCTCGCGGCAAGCGCTTCTCCTAAAGAAGCGACTCAGCTGCCCCACCCGGTGGCGGTGGTGGTGGTGCTGGTGGTGGTGCTGGTGGTGGTGGTGGTGCTGGTGGTGGTGGTGGTGCTGGTGGTGGTGGTGGTGCTGGTGGTGGCGGTGGTGGTGGTGGTGGTGCTGGTGCTGGTGGTGGTGGTGGTGCTGGTGGTGGTGCTGGTGGTGGCGGTGGTGGCGGTGGTGGTGCTGGTGGTGGTGGTGGTGCTGGTGGTGGTGGTGCTGGTGGTGGTGGTGCTGGTGGTGGTGGTGCTGGTGGTGGTGGTGCTGGTGGTGTTGGTGCTGGTGGTGCTGGTGGTGGCGGCGGCAGAGGCGGTGGGCGGCCCCTCGCCCTTGGTGAAAAATGAAACGACGAACGAATCTCAAACGACGGCAAAAAATTGGTGAACGGCGCTCACCTCCCACTCGTTTGCCCGCCGCCAAATGCGCCCTCGCTTCGGCGTCGAGGTCCGCCGGGGAGGCGCCGAGGGTTCAGTTGGCGCGCGACCTTTCGAGAGGTCGATTCGTGACCTCTTTCAGTTGAAGTGTTCGGCGACCTTGACTCCGACCCCCGTTGGTCACCTCGAGCCGTGCACTCGGACCCACCGCGGCCAGCGGCGCGGTTCCATCGCCTGCCCAGCCACGGGCTCACCCCCCTCCCCTCCCTGCCTCCCTCCTTGCCTCCATGCATCCCTCCCTCCCTCTCTCCCTCCCTCCCTCTCTCCCTCTCCTCCCTCCCTCTCTCCCTCCCTCCCTCTCTCCCTCTCTCCCCCCCTCTCTCCCTCTCTCCCTCCCTCCCTCTCCTCCCTTCTTCCCTCCCTCCCTCCCTTCCTCTCTCCCTCTCTCCCTCCCTCCCTCCCTCTCCTCTCTCCCCCCCTCTCTCCCTCCCTCCCTCTCTCCCTCTCTCCCCCCCTCTCTCCCTCTCTCCCTCCCTCCCTTCATCCCTCCCTCCCTCCCTTCCCTTCCTCCATGCATCCCGACACCCCTTCCTCCCTCCCCTCCCTCCGTGGTGATCCCCGTCTGTATATTTGACAGATTTTATTTCCCCAGCGTCCGTTCCGTTTCGCCTTTGCCGGGCAGCGGCGGTGGTGGTGGCGGTGGTGGCGGTAGCGGTGGCGGTGGTGGTGGTGGCGGTAGCGGTGGCGGTGGTGGTGGTGGCGGTAGCGGTGGCGGTGGTGGTGGTGGCGGTAGCGGAGTTTTTACGTGACGCTGTGTGTGTGTTTGTGTGTGTGTGTGTGCGGCGTGTGTGTTTCTGTGTGTTTCTGTGTGTGTGTGTCTGTGTGTGTGTCTGTGTGTGTGTGTCTGTGTGTCTGTGTGTGTGCGGTGTGTGTGTCTGTGTGTGTGTGTGTGTGCGGCGTGTGTGTTTCTGTGTGTGTGTCTGTGTGTGTCTGTGTGTGTGTGGCGTGTGTGTGTCTGTGTGTGTGTGTGTCTGTGTGTGCGGCGTGTGTGTCTGTGTGTGTGTGTGTCTGTGTGTCTGTGTGTGCGGCGTGTGTGTGTGTGCGGCGTGTGTGTGTGTGCGGTGTGGGTGTATGTGTGGTGTGTGCGGCGTGTGTGTCTGTGTGTGTGCGGCGTGTGTGTGTCTGTGTGTCTGTGTGTGCGGCGTGTGTGTGTGTGCGGTGTGGGTGTGTGTGTGGTGTGTGCGGCGTGTGCGCATGTGTGTGCGGCGTGTGTGTGTGCGGCGTGTGCGCGCGGCGTGTGTGTGTGTGCGGCGTGTGTGTGGTGTGTGCCTGTGGCGTGTGTGTGTGTCTGTGGCGTGTGTGTGTGTCTGTGGCGTGTGTGTGTGTGTGTGCGGCGTGTGTGTGGTGTGTGCCTGTGGCGTGTGTGTGTGTCTGTGGCGTGTGTGTGTCTGCGGCGTGTGTGTCTGTGTGTGTCTGCGGCGTGTGTGTGTGGTGTGTGCCTGTGGCGTGTGTGTGTGGTGTGTGCCTGTCGCGTGTGTGTGTGTGTCTGTGGCGTGTGTGTGTGTGTCTGCGGCGTGTGCGGCGTGTGTGTGCGGCGTGCGTGTGTGTGTGTGTGTCTGTGTGTGCGGCGTGTGTGTGTGTGTGTGCCTGGGGTGCGTGCGTGTGTGTGCGGCGTGTGTGTGCGTGCCGTGTGTTTGGCAGGCGCTGTGTTGACCACCCCCCAGGGGACCCCAGTTGGACCCCAGCAGCTGTCCACCTACAGGAGCGGAGGGAGCCCGGGTTACGGGTACCTGTCCACTCAGTGGTGAGGGCAGCAGCAGCAGCAGCATCGCCACTCACACGCGCATGCACGGCCATCGCTACGGTACATGCACCCTCGCTCGCTCTCACACACTCGCACCGTCGCGTACTTTCTGTGACACACACACACACACACACCGCCGTGTACACTGTGACACACACACCGCTGTGTACACTGTGACACACACACACACACCGCCGTGTACACTGTGACACACACACACCGTTGTGTACACTGTGACACACACACACCGTGTACACTGTGACACACACACACACCGCCGTGTACACTGTGACACACACACACCGTTGTGTACACTGTGACACACACACACACCGTGTACACTGTGACACACACACCGCCGTGTACACTGACACACACACACCGTGTACACTGTGACACACACACACACCGCCGTGTACACTGTGACACACACACCGTGTACACTGTGACACACACACACACCGTGTACACTGTGACACACACCACTGTGTACACTGTGACACACACACCGTGTACACTGTGACACACACCACTGTGTACACTGTGACACACACACCGTGTACACTGTGACACACACACACACACCGTGTACACTGTGACACACACACCGTGTACACTGTGACACACACACCGCCGTGTACACTGCGACACACACACACACACCGTGTACACTGTGACACACACACCGCCGTGTACACTGTGACACACACACACACACACCGTGTACACTGTGACACACACACCGCCGTGTACACTGTGACACACACACACACCGTGTACACTGACACACACACACCGCCGTGTACACTGTGACACACACACACCGTGTACACTGTGACACACACACACACCGCCGTGTACACTGTGACACACACACCGTGTACACTGTGACACACACACACACCGTGTACACTGTGACACACACCACTGTGTACACTGTGACACACACACCGTGTACACTGTGACACACACCACTGTGTACACTGTGACACACACACCGTGTACACTGTGACACACACACACACACCGTGTACACTGTGACACACACACCGTGTACACTGTGACACACACACCGCCGTGTACACTGCGACACACACACACACACCGTGTACACTGTGACACACACACCGCCGTGTACACTGTGACACACACACACACACACCGTGTACACTGTGACACACACACCGCCGTGTACACTGTGACACACACACACACCGTGTACACTGACACACACACACCGCCGTGTACACTGTGACACACACACACCGTGTACACTGTGACACACACACACACCGCCGTGTACACTGTGACACACACACCGTGTACACTGTGACACACACACACACACCGCCGTGTACACTGTGACACACACACACACACCGTGTACACTGTGACACACACACACACACACACCTTGTACACTGTGACACACACACACACCGTGTACACTATGACACACACACCGCCGTGTACACTGACACACACACACACACCGTGTACACTGTGACACACACACACGCATCGTGTACACTGTGACACACACGCACCGCCGTGTACACCGTGACACACACACACCGTGTACACTGTGACACACACACCGCCGTGTACACTGTGACACACACACCGTGTACACTGTGACACACACACACACACCGCCGTGTACACTGTGACACACACACACCGCTGTGTACACTGTGACACACACACACACCGTGTACACTGTGACACACACACACACCGCCGTGTACACTGTGACACACACACCGTGTACACTGTGACACACACACACACACACCGCCGTGTACACTGTGACACACACACACACACCGTGTACACTGTGACACACACACACACACCTTGTACACTGTGACACACACACACCGTGTACACTATGACACACACACCGCCGTGTACACTAACACACACACACACACCGTGTACACTGTGACACACACACACACACCGTGTACACTGTGACACACACACCGCCGTGTACACCGTGACACACACACACCGTGTACACTGTGACACACACACACCGTGTACACTGTGACACACACACACCGTGTACACTGTGACACACACAAACCGTGTACACTGTGACACACACACACACACACCTTGTACACTGTGACACACACACACACCGCCGTGTACACTGTGACACACACCACGCCGTGTACACTGTGACACACACCATGCCGTGTACACTGTGACACACACACACACACACCGTGTACACTGTGACACACACACACACACCCTGTACACTGTGACACACACACACCGTGTACACTGTGACACACACACACCGTGTACACTGTGACACACACACACCATGTACACTGTGACACACACACACACCGTGTACACTGTGACACACACCATGCCGTGTACACTGTGACACACACACACCGCCGTGTACACTGACACACACACCGTGTACACTGTGACACACACACCACGCCGTGTACACTGTGACACACACACACACCGTGTACACTGTGACACACACACACACCGTGTACACTGACACACACACACACCGTGTACACTGACACACACACCGCCGTGTACACTGTGACACACACACCGTGTACACTGTGACACACACACACCGTGTACGCTGACACACACACACGCCGTGTACACTGTGACACACACACCCCGCCGTGTACACTGTGACACACCGTGTACACTGTGACACACACACACCGTGTACACTGACACACACACACACACCGTGTACACTGTGACACACACACCGTGTACACTGTGACACACACACACACACCGTGTACACTGTGTACACTGTGACACACACACCGCCGTGTACACTGTGACACACACACCGTGTACACTGTGACACACACACCGTGTACACTGTGACACACACACACACACACACCGTGTACACTGTGACACACACACACACACACCGTGTACACTGTGACACACACACCGTTTACACTGTGACACACACACACACACGGTGTACACTGACACACACACACACTGTGTACACCGTGACACACACACCGTTGTACACTGTGACACACACACCGTGTACACTGTGACACACACACCGTGTACACTGACACACACCACACCGTGTACACTGTGACACACACACCGTTGTACACTGTGACACACACACCGTGTACACTGTGACACACACACCGTGTACACTGTGACACACACACCGTTGTACACTGTGACACACACACCCCGCCGTGTACACTGTGACACACACACCGTGTACACTGTGACACACACACACACACACACCACCGTGTACACTGTGACACACACACCATGTACACTGTGACACACACACCGTGTACACTGTGACACACACATCATGTACACTGTGACACACACACCGCCGTGTACACTGTGACACACACACCGTGTACACTGACACACACCACACCGTGTACACTGTGACACACACACCGTTGTACACTGTGACACACACACCGTGTACACTGTGACACACACACCGTGTACACTGTGACACACACACCGTTGTACACTGTGACACACACACCCCGCCGTGTACACTGTGACACACACACCGTGTACACTGTGACACACACACACACACACACCACCGTGTACACCGTGACACACACACCGTTGTACACTGTGACACACACACCGTGTACACTGTGACACACACACCGTGTACACTGACACACACCACACCGTGTACACTGTGACACACACACCGTTGTACACTGTGACACACACAACCGTGTACACTGTGACACACACACCGTGTACACTGTGACACACACACCGTTGTACACTGTGACACACACACCCCGCCGTGTACACTGTGACACACACACCGTGTACACTGTGACACACACACACACACACACCACCGTGTACACTGTGACACACACACCATGTACACTGTGACACACACACCGTGTACACTGTGACACACACATCATGTACACTGTGACACACACACCGCCGTGTACACTGTGACACACACCACACCGTGTACACTGACACACACACCGTGTACACTGTGACACACACCGTGTACACTGACACACACTGTGCACACTGTGACACACACACCACGCCGTGTACACTGTGACACACACACACACACACACCGTGTACACTGTGACACACACACACACACCGTGTACACTGTGACACACACACACCGTGTACACTGACACATACACACCGTGTACACTGTGACACACACACCGTGTACACTGTGACACACACACCGTGTACACTGTGACACACACACACCGCTGTGTACACTGTGACACACACACACACCACACCGTGTACACTGTGACACACACACACACACCATGTACACTGTGACACACACACACCATGTACACTGTGACACACACAGACACCGTGTACACTGTGACACACACAGACACCGTGTACACTGTGACACACACACCATGTACACTGTGACACACACACACACCGTGTACACTGTGACACACACACACACACCGTGTACACTGTGACACACACACACTGTGTACACCGTGACACACACACACACCATGTACACTGACACACACACCGCCGTGTACACTGTGACACACACACCGTGTACACTGTGACACACACACACTGTGTACACTGTGACACACACACACACCATGTACACTGTGACACACACAGACACCGTGTACACTGTGACACACACACACCGTGTACACTGTGACACACACACACCGTGTACACTGTGACACACACACACACACACACCGTGTACACTGTGACACACACACACACCGTGTACACTGTGACACACACACACACACCGTGTACACTGTGACACACACACCGCTGTGTACACTGTGACACACACACACACCATGTACACTGTGACATGTGACACACACACACACCGTGTACACTGTGACACACACACCACGCTGTGTACACTGTGACACACACACACCGCCGTGTACACTGTGACACACACACCGCTGTGTACACTGTGACACACACACACACCATGTACACTGTGACATGTGACACACACACACACCGTGTACACTGTGACACACACACCACGCTGTGTACACTGTGACACACACACACCGCCGTGTACACTGTGACACACACACCGTGTACACTGTGACACACACACCACGCCGTGTACACTGTGACACACACACCACACCGTGTACACTGTGACACACACACACGCTGTGTACGTGCATCACCCTCATAACCGTGTCTCCGTGTCTCTGTCTCTGTGTGCAGATGGCACAGCCGTAGGAGGGCAGCAGCGTGATCAGCCTCGCCGCGGGGCCCCCCCCCACCACCCCCACCCCCCCACCACCCCCACGTGTAGCCCCCCTCCATCTCCAACCCCCCCCCCCCCCCGTGGCGGTGTGGGTGGGTGGCGTGCGAC